AGCCGTCGGGACCTGATGATTCCGGGTGTCGTACGGGTCATGCTAGGCTCACACGCCCTGCAGTCAACTCGCTGCAGATGTGGAAGCCCTCTGTCACACGCCCATTTGAATGTATTTTTGCTCTTTCTATTAAGCAAATGTTTCTCTCAGTCAGTACTATACAAAATATTGTAACAGCGGTTAAATCAGAGGCAGAGAGCTTATTTGGCATCTTATATCTGTTAGGCCAGTATTTCCTTGTCGTAGAGTCTTGGCCCAGGGCACACCATTGACTGGCACACACTGCTGACATGTATCGCATTGCTCGTAACGTGTTGGCTCAGGATCAAGGACATTTTCTGAAAATTTGTCCATAATCTTGTCTTGTCACTACATGCCAGTTTGCAAATTGCCGAACATCTGTGCATGAACAGGTACCTACTGCAAGGCGGTTACAGTCTGGGCTTTGTTTTATTACGTAACAAGTGCACTTAAAGCCTATTGGACAAATAAGTGAATTAAAAATTCACATATTTAAAAGAGGGGTGGCACGGTGGTGCAGTGCTTAGCACTGTCGCCTTACCTCTGGGAGCAGGGCTCCGCGTGTGTGCAGTTTGCCCGTTCTCCCCCCGTCGTCGTGGGGTTTGCTTTGGATACTCCGCTTTCCCCCAACGGCGCAAAAACATGCTGAGGCTAATTGGAGTTACCCAATTGCCTGTAGCTGTGAGTGACTGGTGTGTGAGTGTGTCTGTCGATGGGTTGGTGCCCCCTCCCAGGTTGTTCCCTGCCTTGCTCCCATAGGCTCCAGACCCCCCCCTCGACCCTGAATAGGATAAGCGGTTACAGAAGATGGATGGATGGATGGATGGATGGTTGCATGGATGGATGGATGGATGGATGGATGCATGCATGCATGGATGGATGGATTGATGGATGGATGCATGCATGGATGGATGGATGGATGGATTGAGGGATGGATGGATGGATATACACAAGGCTTTTTCTTCATCTAAGCCACTTAAAATACATTCATAATGTAACTGCTAATACATTTGCTTATGTTAGCTGGTTTCTATATGTGTAAGTATGTAGATGTACACGGGACACCTGGCCAGTTCTAACAATGCACTGAATGAAAAATGCTGTTAGGTTATCTTTTTATTGCCGTTAGCATGTGTCAGTGTTACGTGGCTATATTCAAGGCAAAAGCAAGCATATACAAAAAGTGAGAGACCCTTGCACGCAAGCTGTCACGCGTCCCCCCCAACATGTGACGTCTCGTCCACCGTAGCCTCGTGTGCCTGTTCCTGAAGAGGGGAGCTGACTACAATGCCAAGGACAAGGATGGGAAGGACCCCATCACGATCGCTGTGGAGAATGCGAATGCGGACATCGTTACTCTGTAAGAGCCGTGGGGGGGAGGGGGTGTTGGGGGGGGGGGGGGCTTTAAAAAGAACACGATGGGACGACTGAGGATACGTGACCTAAAACTGCCACTCAGGAAAAACTGACCCCATTTCTCTGTGTCTCCCACAGGCTCCGGATCGCCAAGATGAATAAGGAGATGCGGGAGATGGACGGCGCCTTTGGCCAATCAGGTCAACCGGGGGGGCGTGGTTACTCAGGTGGAGGGGGCGGGGCTGGGACGGGGCAGCCAAAGAAGGGCTTCCAGGCTCTGAGGAACCAATTGAGTGGCTGGGCACTGGGGGGGTCCGAGTGAGTCGGCGGGACCTAGGGCGCATCTGTCCAGCAGGGCGTGGTGGTCTGTACCGTAAGCCAGGACCGGACTGGCAAATGGAAAACCTCCGACAGGTTTTTCACGGAGATGCAAAAACTCCACCCGGCCAGCCAGTTAACGAGGTTCCTTGGCCTGGGATCCCGTGAAACCCAGAAATGGGGAGCGACTCCAGCGAGGACACGTGGCGGGGACTTACCTTCTGGCCCCCCGCCTCAGGACCCCATGCAGCACAGGAACTGCACACCCAGAGGACAAGCAGGCAAACAGCAGCAGCTGCAAGGAGCCCGATCTGAGCCCTTCTGTACTGTGAGCTGATGAGGTGTATGGCGGTGTGTGGCTTCCGGGTGCCGCTCTCGACCTGCCTCCCGATGGCCCCCGTTCCATGACCTTGTTTTCATTGTCTCTTGTGGTAAATGTAGAAAGTGCAAATAGCACCCTTTAAGGCCCAGTGAAACCCGGTGTATCGGAAAAAGGAAGATTTGAATGCTCTTAATTATGCTCGTTCTTTTTTTTTGGTTATCTTTGGGTTTTTTGCTTAGTATAGCTATATATGGCCTATTTTTTTTTGTCAGTCATGGCATTGAAAAATAGCTATACCTTATGCGCAGAGGGCTTTGTATAGCCTGTGCTGGGACAGCTCGCAGCCTGAGTGCCAGGTGCCCCCTAGAGGCTGAGCTGTGCAATGTCATCTGACACTACTTTATAATCTGGCTCTGATCTGACGACCCCAGAGCTTCCTGTCTGCAGTTTCTCGCTGCTTCTTGCAAGAGATTTGAGGCTGTCCTGGACTGGGCTGGAGCCAGTCCAGGTCCTGTTCAGGCAGATACCCCCCCCCACCCCAAGTGCCCGCCGTCGCCATGCTAACAGCCGCGCATTCGCCGCCACTGACCTCTCTTCCTTGAAGCCTGGCTCCCTCGTCTCCATGGCTCCATTCCCCCCCAGCCCCCCATGTTGCCATGCCGCTCACTGGCATCTGTCTGTCTGTCTGTCTGTGTCTGTCTCTGGGTCCGACGAGACGCCCCGTCCGTCTCCGCTGCTTGTGCCATCTCTCTCGTGTCCCGCCACGCCGTTCCCCACCCCGTGGACCAGGTAACCGCCCGCTAGCCCTGAGCCACGCCCCAGTCGCAGCCCCTTCCCGGCTGCCGGATCCACTCCAGGTTTTCCCCTCCCCTGGTGGGACTAAGGCCTGCTCCCAGGGGGCTAAATCCGCCAAATCCGCTGTGTTTTCGAGAGACCAGATTTGGGGGTGGAGAAGAAGGGGACCTGGAGTGAATCACAGACGCATGCCAAGGGTGTGTGTGTGTGTATGTGTGTCTGCGTGCGTGTGTGTGTGCGTGCGTGTGTGTGTGTGTCTGCTACCATGCCTGTTTGCTGCTCCCTAGGTGTGAACCAAGCTGTCTGCAAGCCAGAGACAGAGAGATATAATCTAGTGACTGTCATAGTTCTAGTCTGCTGCAGCCATTTTGTGTCAAAGGACTGCATGCTCCAAAAAACTGGTTTAAGGGTTGGGACAAAACTAGATCAGAGGAGAGGTGACATTTTTTCCTTTCCTAAATTACATTTATATTTTTAACATGAGATGATCAACTGTAATATATAGGAGAGAGCTATATCGCTCCCAGAATCTCCCCCTCTTTGTCCTTTGTCATTGTTTTGATGTCTCCCTCATCAAAATTCTGTGCTCTTGTCTTCTGCAGGGGATGAAACATATCAGGATATCTTCAGGGACTTTTCCCAAATGGCGTCCAATAACCCGGAGAAGCTGAAGCGGAGAAGTACTGACATTAAGACTCCCTGACCACCAGGTGTCACTGTTACTTCACTTTCTCTCACATACGCACCACAAACATACAGCACATTGCCTTTCTCACGGCTGGACTGCAGTGCACTGGATTGTGCGCTGACACAGTAACAGTGCTGCACATGTCACACGCTCACCATCCCCATACATTGCAGGAATGTTTCTCTAACGTTTTCGCTGTGTAATACTTTTGTATTTATGTCACTAAAGTAACAGAAATGTCATGCCGAGTTTTGTAAGATTACAAACCATTTTTAAAGTTTTCAGTTTATTTCTCATTTGCTGTACATTATCAGATATTGAAATACGGTACTGGGCTCTATTGCATTTTAAACTTGAAAGCTTGATATGTCATAGGGTTCAAACTTCACAGCTTTCTTATACCAATCAACTTTACTCCTGTCAGGTTAACCTCAGTTTGATCATAGTGCGTAACCACAAATTAATATTTATTTTTGCTTGTGTTGGAAATCTGATGCATTTGTTTACAGAAAGGCCAGGTATGGTGGGGGGTGGGGGGGGGGGGAAGCGACTGTGTCACTCAGATTCACCAAATGGATTTAATGGTGGGTCACTTGGTTACATGCCGCGGGGTCACATGAACATGCTGGTCACATGGCTGGTCTGTGCTTACACCAGTGAGTTGAGAGTTTTCCTGCTGAGCCCATTGCCTTCCAGCTGACTCAGAACCGCCGTTTCCGTCTGGCAGAACTGCGCAAATGGGCCCAATACTGGGTTTTTATTTTCGACTCTCTGCTGTTGTTGTTTTGCACACTTACCATGGGGCGGTGCATCGCAGTTGGTGACCACATGGGTCGCGACTGAACATCTCCGAGAGATTTAGTGGTTCTCCCTCGTGGCTGCCAGCGACCCCCCTCCCACCACGGGTTATGGTCACTTAAGGTCAATGGTACCCAAACATTACGAGCCAGAGCCTCTTAAGAGTCACTGGCACAGCAGATATGTCACATGCGTATCCGGGGGAGACCGTCGTGTCGAGGTGGCCCTGATATGCCATGAGACAGTCAGCACGATCTACCTTTAGCATGAAAAATAATGTGTACCATGTATTTTGTTTGTATTTGTATGCTGAACATTTTTTATTGTCATTTATAAAAGCCATGTCAAGTTGAGTCTATTAATAAAATGTTAGGAATGACACAGCCCAGTCTGATGCATCTTTTTTAAGTTTCAAAGGTGACTCACAAATCAGCACCACCAACGGTGCCAGGTTGACCTTTGACCCCCCTGCCACACATGCACCCACACACACATACACAGATTCTCTCATAGGAGTTCATTGTCAAAACTTTTTGACCAGTCAGAAGCATGATAAGTAAATCATGGTAAAAGATGGTAAAACAAAACCATTAGTGTAGCATCAAAACAACAACAGAATCTCCAGTGTTACTGGTTTTTAGCTATTCAGAAGCAAAAAAAAAAAACACTGCATGTACAAACATGCAGAAAATGGCAACAATGTGGATTTTAGATTTTATTGCATAAGACTTTATTTTGGAAAAGATAATCATCAGTGAACGGTAAGGCAGGACAGCAAAAAGCCGCGTCAAGAGGTGAAAAACGGTAGGAAACGTACAAAATGAAGAGCGGTGACAAAAGGCAGCTGTGGTTTACAGACTGATGGATGGCAGCTGTTATAATAGTCAGGCTGAGCACTGCTTCCTGGGCATGAGGAACCGCATGGAGGAGAAGATCATCAGGGTCTACAGACTGCTCTCAAGGGCATGGGGATGCCTTTGTTCTGTCAGGCAGTATCCAGAGTCCTGTCTGCAGTCTGTCTGCCTGCCTGTCTGCAGTCTGTTTGCCTGCTTGCAGTCTGTCTGTCTGCAATCTGTCTGTCTGCCTACTTGTCTATTGGCTTGATCACAGCTCAGACAACGTCCCTATAAACAGGCTGAAAAAACACATCAGAATTCCTGTAGTTCAGCGAGTGCTTGACTTTCAGCTCCCGTTTAAACAGCCATTCACTGGACCCTGCCATTCACTGGACCCTGGCTGGCTGCCGACACACGGCAAGGTCAAGAAGGTCACAGGCACGCAGCTGCATGGCGATGGACGCCTTGACGTGATTTTCTGATACAGAAGATATATGCTTCAGTAAACAGGAAGCGCTCGAACATTCTCTGTTCCTCTGACACTCGAGGACATCTTCAGAGAAATGATCACATCTGTAGCAGCTGACTGGGGACGGGAAGCGCATGCTATCATGTGACCTTATGAAAATATAGGGAAGAGACGGATTCCAGGCCTACAAACGCTTTGGCCATGACAGATCAATCTTAAAATAAAAGTAAGTACAGAAAACAGGCTCCATCCCAGACAGGGAGGAATTCAAAGGGAACCTGTCTATGGAAAGAGGTACTTTCCCGGTCACATTAAAGATCCCTTCCTCATTTTCCTTCCCCAAGGATGAAACTACTCAGTTTTAACCAGAAGCTGTTTTGGAGGTAACTGAAATAACAAACTTTCAGCTGCTGGTCTACTGAAAGATTTTTTTGGTACTGAAAGATCATCTTTGAGACACGTCAGTCAGCATCGCTGTCCTGAGGAGGAGGGGCAAGGGCTGGCTCCTCCCATCTCAGGTGTTCCTAAGCAGCGTGGTCAGCATTTGGGATCTTCCCTTAAAGAAGACGTCCGCATGGATGTGAGATCTAGACCCGGGTCCATCAGGGGGTCCTCAGAATGTGGCTCTGAGATGGGAGGTGGTCCCGAGTTATAAGGTTTATTGGTCAGGTCTGGGGGGGTCCCAGTATGGTCCAGCAGTCCAGACTCAAGGCTTTGGTTCTGTTTTTGATGCTTGGGCTTTGGGGGTCGGCAGGAGAAGTAGGACGGCAGAGCGGCCAGCACTAGAATCCCTGTGAGGAGGAAGCCACCTGCCAGCAGGAAGGAGGCTGTATAGCTGCCAGTTTTGTCCTTCAGCCAACCTGGGACAGAAGAGACATATGTCACACAACAGGAAGATGAGCCTCTTCTGTGGCTACATAAGCCTGGATAAATAAATGTGTCTTATTTTGTAAAGAAAAGACAAAGTGAAGTAAACTGAACTGAGGTTCACAGTAAAGCCAAGCTGATTGGTCACCCCAGATGGAGGCTGACCAATCCTACTAGGGCAGGACTGTGGCCTACCCGTCAGAGCTGAGGAACACAGTGAAGCCCAGTTGATTGGTCACCCCAAAAGGAGGCAGACCAATCCTGTGGTGGCAGCACCGTGACCCACCTGACAGTGGCGGCCCGAGGAGCCCACCCATGCTCTCGATGAGCTGCAGCAGCCCTAGGGCACCCAGGATGCGGCCCACGCCCACAATCTCCGGCACAACTGAGAAGACGAGGGGCGTCATGGCACCAGCACAGAAGCCGTAGGCCAGGCTGATGAGGAGCAGGCCGGGGTAGGAGCCCCCGGAGGAACAGAGCGGCAGCAGCAGCATGAGGAGGCCCGTGAGGCCCGTCCACAGCGACAGCAGGTGTGGCAGCCGCACGTAGCCCATGTCGGACGTCCAGCCTGACGCCACGCGGCCCACCAGGTCCGACACGCCCGTGGCCGAGATGACGAAGGCGGCTTGGTACTCGGAGAAGCCCGCGTGCCGGCTGTGCGCCACCAGGTGGACGTAAGGCACGAAGTAGCCAGCGTTGAAGAGCGTCACAGCCAGCGCATACGTCAAGAAGGTCTTCTGGAGGAGCAGCGACAGCTCCAGGTAGGCAGAGACCCGGGAGCAGAAGGAGGGGCGTGAGGAGGCCACCGCCGGCACATCGTTATCGGGGGTCTGGGGGGGGCGGGGGGGGGGTCAGCAAAACCACGTCTGATCACGTCAGAAACACTCATTTAAACACTGGCATGCTGTCAAACGGTCACTCCTAAATTACTGTAAAGCTACTAAAAAGTAGTCATAGTAGGTGTTATGAAACCTAAGACCGGGGGGGTATATGTGGGCGGGGGCACAAGGGCACTATACCAAGCTCCTGAAGTGTCCCATCCCCTGTCACTCACCAATTCAACAGATTTCATTGGTTAATAAGAATGAATTACAGCCCCTCTTCTACCCCCTTCCTTAAAAATAAATCCTTAACTACTCTGTGCCTTATACACATATTTATGGAAAGGCAGAAAGGTCCTTAAGCACCATGTATGAATTAGGCTGTGACGTAGGACCCCAGTGAACCTGACTAGGTGAGATGGACTTGGCAGGACTTAGAAGGAGGAAGATGACACATGCAGGTCTTCAGCTGAGCCCAGTCTGACATTTGAAACCTAATTTGCGCATTTTAAATACCTCATGGCACATTGGTTCTCACGCCACCAGTACCTGTGCTACGGCCTTAGCGCCGCTCAGGGGCCGGAGCAGAGCCCCGCAGGCTATGAGGTTCAGACTGAGCCCTCCCAGGATGAGCAGGGCCCCCCGCCAGGCGTAGACCTCCACCAGCAGCTGGAAGAGGGGTGAGAAGGCGAAGGAGGAGACCCCCACGCCAGTGAAGCCCAGGGCCATGGCCAAGGAGCGCCGGCAGGAGAAGTACGCCATGACGCAGCCCACGATGGGGGTGAAGACCAGTGCCCAACCGGAGCCTGGCAGGGGAAAGATCCTGTAAGACAGGGTTTCCAAATCTGGTCCTCAGAGACCCACACAGTCCACATTTTTGCTCCCACCCATCTCCCTGTAAGACAGTCCACATTCTTGCTCCTTCTCAGATCCTTGTCAGACAGTCCATCGGGGGGGGTCACAGTGATATTATCAGTCCCAGACAGACAGGCGCCTTCCCAGCACGGTCGTGTTGTCCTCTTAAGAGTCACTGGCACAGCAGATATGTCACATGCGTATCTGGGGGAGACCGTCGTGTCGAGGTGGCCCTGATATGCCATGAGACAGTCAGCACGATCTACCTTTAACATGAAAAATAATGTGTACCATGTATTTTGTTTGTATTTGTATGCTGAACATTTTTTATTGTCATTTATAAAAGCCATATGAAGTTGAGTCTATTAATAAAATGTTAGGAATGACACAGCCCAGTCTGATGCATCTTTTTTAAGTTTCAAAGGTGACTCACAAATCAGCACCGCCAACGGTGCCAGCTTGAACTTTGACCCCCCTGCCACACATGCACCCACACACAGATTCTCTCATAGGAGTTCATTGTCAAAACTGTTTGTCCACATTTTTGCTCCCTCAGAGCTCCCTGTCAGACAGTCCACGTTTTTGCAAAAATATGGACTGTCTGACAGGGGTCTTGGAGGGAGCAAAAACGTGGACTAGCTGGGAATCCCCAAGGGCCGGATTGGGAAACACTGCTGTAAGAAGTGAGGAAAGGATACAAAGAGGAGGAGAGGGAGGGACTCTTCACAGGAGGACCACAGGGGGCCCGGGGCGAGTGTGTTTACGTCTCACCGGAAATGAGGCCCATGGTCAGATAGAGGTGGGTGAGAGACGTGGCCTGCGACGCCAGAATCAAGCCCAGCGAGGCCAGCAGGCCGCCCAGCATCACCACAGGTCGGGCCTCGTAGGCGTTACACAGCGCTGTGCCGACTGGACCTGCCCAAGGGGAGACATCGGCCGTCACTGAAGGGCAGGGCTGCAGGCAGCACTGCAGTTACGCAGACAGATATTACAGACGGCTGGGGAGTAAGTTCAAAATGCCTCGTTTGGGTATTTAATAAAGTACCGGCAAAATCATATCTTGGTAGTCAGTGTAATTAAATGAGCCTAAGGCCTGGAGCCTCTGTTATAATAATTAATCATAATAATAAAAATAACAACATTAATTTATAAAGTGCTTTTCAAAACCCACAGATGCAATGTCCCACCTTCAGCACCATCCTGTCTCCCAATTGGTTCTTTTTAACAATGTCCTGCCTTCGACAGCATCTTAGTCTCTCCCCATTGGCTTTTTCCAACAATCACCACTACTTAATCCCCCCTCCATTGGCTCTCTCTTCAATGTCATGTTTTCACCACCCCTCAGTTAATTCCTTACCCATAACAACTCTGATCTTCGCCCTTGTCCTTCGTGAACTTTCCCCTAGTCACATCTTTCATTCCCTCATCACTCCTCCTCATTTATACAGCTCTGTCTGTTCTCCTCTCTCCGCTACTCACTCATCATCTGCTGCGTGGCCACACCAATGGAGGTGATCCAGGACACGGCCTGTGCTCCCTCCTCAAAGTGCCGCACGAACTCCACGAAGAAGATGCCCAGGCTGCGGATGAGGCCGAAAACCAGAGCTGAGGCCACAAACAGCGCCCCCACCACCACCCAGCCCCATCCTCCGTCGGGGGCGACCGCCGGCTCCCGGGGGGGCAGTCTGGCCATGGACCCTGAAGAAAGAAACAAGGTTATAGATGAGAAGGTGACTGGGAGTGACAGGATGGAGACTGGAACAAGCTACAATCAGAGTTACTCTCATTATTCAGTTCTTCAAGTTAAAAGCATGGTAAATATGACAGACAGCCCCCGCCCCCCCCCCCCAAAAAAAAAACCTGATAAGTGAAACCCTACAAAAACATTTCCCTGTAATGCACGTTTTGACCACAAACATGGCGGTGAATGCCCAGTCGGGCCGAATAGAGAAAATGAAACTTTGAATGCAGGTTCCTTGCAAAATACTGCATTTGCTGAAAGCATCACACTGATGTGGTTACTCTCACACTCAGATCAAGCTGCAGTCTAATTAACTGTAACGTTTTTATTTTGACGGTTACATGGTTCAGCTAGCGCTCGTCGGTAAACCCACAAAGGGTACATTTTGCATAAGTCTAAATGTCATTTTTTTTTGTTTTTTTTACTAAATTTGGTATGAAAACAACAAAGGCTTAGAGTAACAAGTCATTTTTTTATAATGAAATACATATATATATATATGTACTACTTGATAACAAAAAACTGTTTTGGGGTGAAAATGACATACAGAATTTTCCTTTATGATCAATAAAGTCTATCTTAAATTCTATATTGTGTATCAATAACCCCTTTTGAGGGTCAGTGGAGCATTAACTTTCAACAGCATAAACGGGATTTAAAAAAAAAAAACAAAAAAACCCATCATTGTAACAAACCAGTACTGTCAACACGTTGTCATCTGAATGAGTCACATGGGAATGTTATGGTGCAATGCATCCAGCTATATTTAAGCTGCTTAGCCTGGACAGGACCAGCTCATCTCAGGCAGCGTGTCCAGGCATGGCACAGCCTGGCCAGTCCACTGCATGTCACACACCACAGGCCAATTCTAAAGCATTATGGCGTCATATATCAATGGATAGGCTGCCTATTATCTGGTTATGCCATGCAAAATTTGGCCATTCCATTAGAAACCTCGCTGGGATTCTTTGCTTTTGCATTACCGGATTATTGCCGGAGCGTTGACTGTATTTTGGTGATTTAACACAAAAAAGCGTCTGTCCTACTTATGTCGATTCTTTATCGATCCCCATGGGGAATTTTTCTTTTCATCCTCCCATTTTGCTCTCAGTAGGTCAAAGCAAGCTGAGCCGGCGAAGGGCAGCCACCCATAGCAGCCCCCAGGGAGCTGGGGGTTAAGGGCCTCGCTCAAGGGCCCACAGACGTGCTGAGGCTGAGTTTGAACCGGCGACCTTCCCATCACAGCCACACACTGCCTGATGATTACAAATAGCAGGACTAATAGCATCGCTTATCGTCCAAATACATCCGGATCCATCTTTAATACAGTAAAAGGCACGATCCTGTGCAACCGTTTACATCAAATGACAAAAAATCATCGGATATTTCAGTAAACAAGTTTAATTCAAATACATGGCAGGACATTCGCAGCTCATTACGTCTATATACGGTAGTGGAAATACAGGCATGAAATCACATGACATTTAGAAAGCTCTTTCAGATGTTCAAAGCGTCCATGTGCGCTGCAGAGAGACGCACGGTTAAGCGAACGCAGAAGTGGGCGGCTGAGCGGATGCAAGCTCAGTTGTCTGTGTGAAACTTAACACAATATCTAACAGTCACTGTTAGATTCCACTGATGTTTTTATTTAATGTTTGTCATAAGACAATACGAAAAATTCCTGACCGCAGTGTTCCCTCTGTACTGAAAAGACGTTTTCATGCCTCAAAAGTGGAATGTACACCAATCAAGTGACTCATAGTTGAAATGACGGCAGACCGCAGACAAAATAATTCAGAGAAAACATCTATTTCCCATAACCAGCATCCTTACAACCAGTGCAAAGAAACTCTGAAGAGCATAATAGCTCATTACAGAGCATGCAAAGAAAGGGACATTACAGACACAAATCCACATAAACCACATCATTGTATCAGGGGAAAACCAGAGATCCAATATAGGCCCAAAATAAGAATGAAATCCCCTAACAATGTGTAGATCGATACTGAAATATTCATTCTTTCAGTCTGAAAGAATCGATTCTCAAAATTGAAACAAATGTTAAAATATTGAATGTTGTATCTGAAATGTTTAGACCAGGGGTGGCCAATCTTATCCGCAAAGGGCCGGTGTGCATGCAGGTGTTTGGGGTAACCTGTAGGTTAGCTGTTCAAACCCAGGTGTGAGGACTCCTCAGCTAATCAGTCCTTTAATTAGTGACCTAATTAGGGAGTTGCAGTGAAAACCTGCGTACACACCAGCATTTGCGGATAAGATTGCCCACCCCTGGTTTAGACACTTGGGGGAAAAAAACAATCAATCTGCCGGCACAACCCCCTCCCAGTGGACAAACTTTATAACCAGTAAAATTAGTGGCATCACCCACCCCGACCCACATGAAATACAAGACACTACTCACTAAGGCATCCAACTACCCTTGAACTGAACAGCACAAGTTAAACCTCTGCATCTTACAACAGACTGATCCATAATCATTGTTAAATCTACACTAATATGCCAAAACATTTTCTTTTGGGCAGCTTTGTGTTTGAATCAGGCATCAAAACCCACAATGACCTTAATCACTATGACAATCGCCAGCTGTTTCAGTAAGTCTTACATCGCATTACGCCTGATCGAGTCACATCCGAGGTCCTCAGTAAATAATAAACACTGATAGAGAGACACCTGAAAGGGGACCTAGTAGGATGTTAGGGTTAGCTGTGCAATATTTTTATGATCTGTGACTCTGTGATACCTGAGCAATATAATTAAGATGTGCAATATTATTATCCATGATTCGGTGCAATATACCTCGACTTCTTCCCCACAGTTTTAAGTCTAACTTGGTTTTACCAATAAATGCAATATAACCACTTATGATATTGGTACAATATATTTACTTTACTGTGCAATATGCTCCTATAAACTTTTATTTTTCCTGTAACTTTTGGACAAAGGTCCTTTAACATTCCTGTACAGAGATTTTCCATTTTATTTTATTTTGTTAGAATGTTTAAGAGTGCCCTAATATTTTTTTTTTGTACTTCATTCCTATTGTTATACTTATACTGTATTGTTATTGTCTTGGTGTCTATGTGTGATCACTCACATTACGACGCATGATTTCCTCTGGGATTAATAAAGTCTTCTGGTTCTGATATACAAGTTGTAACACATTATATATACAGTAATGTACATGTGATGGACAGCTACCGTTTGGAGATACACCCAAAATGATTCGGGTCCAGTGGTCCCCGTCTCAAATGCGGACGCAATTCGAAACATGCCTGTGCTTTAGAAACAATACTTTACAGCATGGAAGCTGACGGACTTCGGAGATCTTAGAAAAATCAAGGTTCAGAGTCTGCATGCATGATCTTCCTCTCTCTGCAGCTAAAGGAGTCTTTCCAGTTTAATAAAGGATTTATTTCTGATCTGTGTTCACTATGGTAGGGAAACAGATTCACAAAATAAAGTTTTCAGCCAAGCTCAAAAGCTCCATTCTCTATGAGAATTTGCAGCCATAAATTCATAAAGCGGGTGTCTCACTGGGTAAAAGCACAGGAATATCTGTTGACGTAAAGATCAACCATCATCAAGGTAAATGATCTCAGTCCTGTGACTCACCACCCAGATTAATCTTTATAAAGCAAGTATATAAACACTTGTGCTATGTCCAAACCGCTACATTTCCATTTAAAAATGAAGTTTACTAACAAAAATGATCTCCATCCACACAGGCACTTTCACGTAGTTTCTGAAAGTATTTCCACTGAAAGGAGTGAAAACGCACGTGATATAGCTCTTAGCCTACATTGGTCATGCGAAAATCAACAAAATGACTGGTAAATTTGTTCCTTTTTATGCAAATATGCAGCAGTCACACTGTGTGACATGCTATTTAGCTGCACAAGGGTCACAAAATGTCACCGAAAGCAGCTCCTCAATATCCGCCATGTTGGAACTTGGAATACTGTTTACTTCCTTGTAGGGTGACCAGGTGACCAATCAGACTATGGCTGTGTCCGAATTCAGGGACTGCATCCTTCTATGGCTGCATTTGAAGAGCGAATTCCTCACAGCGGCCAAACAAGGCTGTCCCTTTTCTAAACCTCCTTCAAATGCGGTTCAGAAATGCGTCCTCCTTTTCCTGCTCCGCGATGGATGGATCAGATGGTTCCTTCACAGCCCAGCATATCCCAAGATTCACTGCGCCAAGGTAAAGTGGGTGTAACCCAGCTAAGTTATAGGAGTGGCACTTTGTGACTGAAGGAAAACAGGCAGGATTATCCATAGGTCACACCATCCCTTTTTTCAAAGCTTTCTGTTTCACTTTCAAAAAACGCAGCCAACTAGGCAATGGACACAGCCCTGAATTTGGACACAGCCGTTGTAACTAGCGGGATCAAATCAGGGAAGGGCCACATGATGAGTAGGGACCAATTCGACATCGTTTCCCTCATCCATACTGGAAAGTTGAAATTGAGTTTTCAGAAGCATACGGCTGTGAGAGCGCTTACAAAGGTCTGTGTTTTTGGGGGCTGACAACTCAGAGGGATTGTGGATGAAGGGCAAAAACGTAGACCAATGTCTGCGTTTTTAAACTGAAACTCGGTGTGGACATATCTTTAGCCATCATCCCAGTCAAGACAGTCTTCACAAACAAATAATTCTGGTAAATAATAAGCAAATATTAACCCCCTAAGAAAAACTGTGCTTAAAATGCTATATTTGTTGAAGACTATTTAAATTAGTCATTCTTCTGATTTATAGGTGATTGCAGACTGATCCCTCCCACTTTAAAGGTGCCATTAAGCATATAATCCAGTTCCTGGATTTATAGAGACATTAAACAAAGCAGAGACATTAAACAAAGCAGAGACAGGCCAATGAGTCTGTGATTATAGTGCAGATTTAAGGAAACAATATCAGGGTATCTATCACTTTGTCTTTGCATAAACATATCAGATGCAATCCACAAAAACGTTGTTACTTCCAGAAAATATTCTGTCATCTTTCTGCCATGATTATATGAGATGGATCATATGGTCACCTTTGATATATGCAAAACATTTGTATAAAGGGGAAAATACTACACCCTTTTATAATACTGCCCCTACACCTTAACTAGCACTTTGAGAATGAATGACAACCCTTGCATTTTGACCTGAGCAGGCCAAAATTACATCGTAATTTGGTAGTCCTTCACCTATAACAGGTCACGATGGATACTATGTTTGCACAAAGTAAAAGTAACAGCCAAATAAAAGAAGGCAAATGACAGATTTTTTTCCCCAGATTCTGATTCACTAATTCAGCAAAAGCTTTCAAATATTGCAATAAATACCTCGGTTCGTATTCGAAGGTTTGAAGTAAAAGTGACTTCGACCACCACGTGATTTGATATGTAGTGCACTGGATTAAACAGAGCCACTCAAGGGCGTAAGTTTCAGCACTGGTGGGCACCAGATCAACCCCGTCCCCCTAAACACGCACGTGCGGTGATCCCACGATGTTAATAATGATGCAGCAGTCACTCACCGAGGACCAACACGGCACAAGTGGATAGAGAAAAGTTAAAAAAATATTAAAGTGGGATTTCCCCCGGCCACTGTTTTTTAAAGGCACAAAATGATTGCATCAGAGCAGAAATACAGAACTAAAACTCGTAATAGTCGCATACTGACGTTTACATGCTCGAAAAAATATGGTTTATGGCGTTAACTTGTAGCACATAACCGATTAATCTGTTTTACTGACATGAGAAAATATGTATATTTAACGTGAAACAGGTGTTTAATCACAAAACACTATAATATCGCAATATCGATCATTTTGAACGGGGTTGCGTATATTGCATTTCACATATTCCTAAACATGCACAGATTGCATATTTCTAATTTTAAACTGATTTTAATAATGATTCGCATTAAGACTGTAACAATGGAAGGCCAATATACTAACGTTATTTTTTAGGGTATAATGATGACATTGTTAAAAATCAGTCATACACGGCCACACAACTATTTCACTATGCAAAGTCGATTACCACAAGTATGAAAATTAACTTGTAATTCAGATTAAGCTGTACAATGCTCCTTATAAGTATTTCGGTGCCTAAAGACAGATATGTATGAAGGGATGTACGGACGCAGCTGTTATCGTACGTACAACTAGCACAGCCATCGTCAATAACAAATACGGAATTATAAATGCGGAATAGCTTTTATTTTCCCGACCTTGTGTGGCGACCCGGTCTGTGCTTCTAGATCTAGGCGCGCAAGAGCAACAGATCAAAGAAGAGGAGATCCTGAAGTCCGTGGCATGTGTGCGGTTATTTACATTTGAACTCTGAACCTCACCGGGGACTCAGCCGGATCCCCGGCCAGCGGCAACGCGCATCTTATTTGGGCACCGCCTCTTTTCATCCCTACACCCAATCAGATAAAGCGGAGGCGCACGAGCGAATCAGTGGCCGCTCAACCTGCAACCAAGCGGCCGACCGACGTGTGGCTGGAATTTAATTTTCATAGCAGAGGTGCGTATAGATGTCAGTGTCATCTCGAAGTCTGAACAGGCGACTGTGAAATAAGCGAAAACTGCTTAACACACCAAAGCTCAGCTTTCATATTTTACGTTGATGGAGGGCCGATGAAATACATGTTACTACCGAAACAAGTAAAGTAATAAAGGAATAAAAGGAAATTGTATGCAGGCAAGTAGAAATAAAACACCTTCACATGCTTAATTAAATTAAAGTGACATTACACATTTAAACGCCTGCGACCCACGTGTATGGAACAGAAAAGATGGACCTATCGAAATAAGGCACAAGATCAGCTGGGTGGGGAATCACATGACTAGCAACATGGCGAAGACCGAAGGCTGAATGAATGGTCGGTCTTGTTCGGTGTGTATCAGGGCTGCCAACTCTCACGCATCTGGCGTGAGAGCAAATTTATATTAGTACATTATAAACCTAAAATTAGCTGCATCAAAAGCGTTGGGGTAGTTTGCAAACCCTATAGACCATTTACAAGGTAATAAAACTGTCACATAGGTGTAAATGCGTGTGCGGACTTGTCTGAAATCGAAAATCTCACGCCAGCCGGCTGACCAAAGTTGACAGCCCTGGTGTGGATATATATATATATATATACACACACACACACACACACACACACACACACACACACACACACCCCAGTTCAAATATTCGCTTCAAGAAAAATTAGAGTGGAATAACGTGTTGTAATGTATTATTTACCACATTAATCTAATAATAATAATCTACCTTATAGGTATTTTAACTGCAGTGAATGACAACTAATTTTGAATGTATTTCTTTAAAGAACAATCCAAAACATCGCTTGGTACACCGTGTCAATTTAATAAACACGACACTCTTAGCTTTATAGAAATTGTTTGTTTATAATAATATGTTTATTTAGAGAATAATTTTACAATGCAAACTCCCACCACAAGAGAAAGGCCGTACACACACACACACACATATATATATATATATATATATATATATATATATATATATATATAGAGAGAGAGAGAGAGAGAGAGAATGCAAAGCAGATTAAAAAAAAAAAAGATTTTGTGGAAACGGAACATTTTCCAGGTCCATCTCCAAATCATCTTTTTGCTGTTTAGTGCCGCATGCGCATGTAAGCTACACAAATTTTGCATCTTGTATTCATTCTGTCCGTGTTTTTGCCCTTAGCAAAGGCGTAGGGACAGGACACATAAGGCAGGCGACTGCCTGATGCCCCCGAGGGCAGTCGGTTACATAGTACAGTACTGTGCAAAAGTCTTAGGCAGGCAAAGAAAATGGTGTTTAGATTATCCTCGTGTTGGTGTAAAACTATGATATTATGCCTGTCAAAGTGTGTCAGCGTAGCCAATTCAGAACCTCTGCTAAAATAACCCCAGTATTTGCAGCTTTAAACATTTCTTTCGACTGCCTAAGACTTTTGTACAGTACTGTACATTGAAACGACAAATCTGCTTTATTTGTGTATTCTGTTTTTCACAATAAAGTGAATATAAATGAATTGTGTTTATTAAATTCTGTTTGTTGATATTATAAATTTCGACTTATATTATTATGCTAAAATAATTGTCATAGACTTTACCATGTCGGGCGGGGTGTGTTGGAGAGCCCCATGGGGTTTCTGCCAAGGCTCCCAAGCGTACATAGAATCACCTCTGATTGTTAGCTGTCCATTGTCTTGTCTTCAACAGCAGCAAGTTGTGTGAACAGAAATTTGAATTGGCATTGTTTGTGTTGCAGTTAAGATTATGACTAGAGTTACAGCTATTTGTAGCCCAATGTTTTCATAATTGCAGTGCTATGAGGGAATTACATAGAAATACACTGCACATTTCTTAAGCTTTAGAAACTCTTTAGAAACCTGGAAATGCCTAATGTCATAGTATTTTACATGTATAAATATCGGCATTCATATGGCATGTCATATGACACATTGGGTACCATCTTGTCCCTATACCCCCTTTCCTCTGGAGGTTCAAATCTCACCCCTACTCTGTATGTGGGAGAGGAGTTCATCGTCTTGGTCAATATTTCCCCCCCAGACGGTCCATGTTTTTGCACTCCGCCTCACTCAAACCAAATGTTGACTTGACTGTACTGTTACCCCCCTTTGGTCCTTGAGGTCCGGGCTTGGAAACACTACTCCAGGTATTCTGTTTTCCACCTGCAATCTGAAGATCTGCAGTCAGCTCCTAGTATGGAGCTGGATGAGAGCAAAAACATGGACTGGCTGTTGGTCCCCGAGGACCGGATTGGGAAACACTGCTGTAGATAGTCAGTTGCAACCTAACCGCTAAGTAACAAGCAGAACAACATTTACACGACTAAAAATGAATCAGTATTTACACCATCGTTCCCCTATGTATTTATTCACATGATGTTTGTTTATTTGTTTATTTGACTCAGGTTAGAAACAGTCCTGTTAAAGGCAAAGGAGCGCTTTGCCCTGACAGACGTGGAAAGTCAGGCTTTTATTTTGAATCTCAAACAGCTATTTCACATTTGAGGCCCCTTTGGGTATCAGATACACATTATACATCATCAGCATTGCTGATCTTTTTTAATAACCCCCCCCCCCCACACACACACACACACACACACTGTTATTCTCTCCTGCCTCCACTTAGCCACACTGCAGATCACACTGCACCCCTTCAGTTCTGATGACCCCTTTTCACAGAAATCACATTACTAAGGACTGCCACTTCGCCCTAGAATCATTTGTTTGCTTTATTTTGGGCTGGAAAATCCACAGTAGTTTCACAAACCTCCAGATGCTGTTGTAAACAAACAGTCACCACTTTAGGCATCATGAGAAGATGCAAAATATTAATCCCTAAGATTCTCTGCTCAAGCCGAGGATGCATATAGCGGGGAACTGGCCAGTTAAAATCCAGTGCTTGAATACATCCCAGCCTCTTTCTTCCTATGACGATTTCTGGTGCCCAGGGAGCGATGAAGTCACTGGGTGGTAAAATCTAGATTTTCCATGGCTGTCAGCATTAAGGAGAATAGCCACACATCTCATCATTGAATTAGATTTAAATATGATTGTTGGCGTGAGAACACAAGCCAGAACATGGAACAAAACAGGCTGGAGAGGCTGTAATCTTCATTAAAAAGTGCTGACAGATTCTGAAGGGGGAAATATTTCCTGTTTTGAATTAAAGTAAGGATGTTACTGAAAACAGCTGATTTCATTCTGAAACACTCTGACAATGGGAGAGGTCATTGAGCCCCGTGGCTTTACTGCAGGAAGCAGAACCTTAGCATGAACCCAGCCCGACCATGCACACTCCAGACAGGTGCTGTACAGGAAACCCGTGTGTGTGTGCTTTATTGTTCCTGTTCTTACCACCACTAAGAAATGAAACAAGATAGTGTATCTGCTTGCCAGAACTGAGTCATCAACCAAGCAGTTACTTCATTTGAGTTGGAAATTAAGGGGAGATTTTTTTGAGTCCTCAGGTTTGCGAAATGGTCCCTTTCATGCTGGACCCTCGTAGCAGCTTCTGCTGCAGGTGAAGCCCGACTTTGCCCATTCAGAGAGTGAATGAGGGGACATGTTTGTCTGCAGTCTCGGGGCTAGTTTCTCCCTGGTGCAAATGTGCCGATGGCTCTTCAGGTTAAGCATTTCCCAGTGTCTTTAACCATCATGCTAGTACCGATCTTAAGGCATTAGTACAGCTGTAATACAGGTAAATTTTATTTCTGTACTATGTAAAAATTAGTTATGTATCCTAGTGGTCAGGAGGCTGAAGCACAATCGGGCCGTTAATCGGGTGACTTACGGTTAATGGTCTGACTTCAGACTCTATAGAGATGAGAATTCAGCACAGAAAGTGAATGGAGAACTGGATTCTGACCTGTTCTCCCCTGCTGACACACACACACACACACGCACACATGTACCACAGACCACGCTTGCATGGCTGACTTCAGTGCAGTTCATTTATTTCAGCTCACAGTACACCAGTTTTGTCTTTCTCCAGCAAAATAACAATGTAGCCAATCAATTATTTACAATTTATTTATTTAGCAGGCATTATCATCTAAGGCCATGTAGAGCTGAGAAAGCAAGTTCAGCCAGTCCTTTGAGCAACTGGGGTAAAGGGGCCAATGACAAATTCACTCTGTTAACCATGGAAATTAAACCAGTGACCTTTCGATTACAGGTACAGAATCCTAACTCACTGAACCACACATAATCACTAAAAAGCACCACCTCATGGATGGCATTTCAGAAGGCTGTTCTTTCACTGGCCCTTACAGAAACTGCTATCTAAATAGGGACTTGAACCTTAGGCCCTGATATTAAAAGTCTGATGCTTTACCAACTGAGCCATCCACAGCCTTACAGTCGTTCCTGGAATTTCTTTACAAGTTCCTGTGTAATTAGCAGCTCTTTTTACACAGCGTGTCTTTTTGCTGGCATGCAGAGGCGGTGCATTCCAGATGTAACTGAAAGGGGTGAGCCTCAGATTAGCATGTAGCAGCATAGCACCAAAGCTCAGGTCAGAGGTGGCCTGTACCACTGAGCTGCTAGAGAGGGGAGTGTATCCTATCTGACTTAAAGAGCACAAATAGAACAGAACGGGCTACCTCATAGCCCAGGGACATTAATTCATTTTACTCCCCATAGTAATCCCATAGAAACTTAACCTTACATATTTGACCCACAGCAGGACCTCACTACTACCTGGCTGATACTTCTGTATCCAGTTAATGTCAACATTTACTCATTCATCAATCATTGTAACTCTGAGGGAAGGGTTATAATTTATGTGTGGTTCTTGAGATTTGAACCCATA